CCTACCCGCCCCTACCCAGCCCTAGTGTCACCCCACCCTACGGACCAATCACAGAACAGCAGGTCAGGAAGCCTTCAACCTTTCTCCCCCATCAAGTTTCTTGTGAAAAACAAAGCCAATAGACAATAAAGTCTTTTAAATGACATTGGCAGTCTAACCATTTTCTGAACCTCATTGAATAACTGGATCTCCTTGCACTGCTAACGCTTTTTTTGAGTTCTTGTACTTCTTTTCTAGCGTAACTAGTTCTGGGCGCACCGTTGACAATTTTTGTCTTTACCATCCCATGATAGGAACCATGAGAATAGCAGATTCCTGCTCCAGCAACTGCCCAATTGTGTTCAAGACTCTCTCTCTCTCTCTCTCTCTCTCTCTCTCTCTCTCTCTCTCTCTCTCTCTCTGTGTGTGTGTGTGTGTGCGTGTGTGTGTGATTCTACATACCTCTTCGTGGAGGATGAGAGTCGGAGGCTTTGGCACGAAGAAGAAGCTCTTCTCCAAAGGATACAGCTGTCCTTCCTCCGCCTTGAGCGAGCACTTGACCTGCGCATGTCAAAGACAGAGAGAGAGAAACACTGTCACGACGTTCGAGGCTACAACGTAATGACGATATCGATCGATGATTTCGGAAAAAAATTGAATTCACAACCATACTACCATGCCAGCACCCATGACGGGCATTGAGCCGCCTTTTTTTTTTTTTTTTTTTTTTGGACATTGAGCTGTCTTCTAGCTCTGACATTTCAGAAAAAGAAATAAAAAAATGAGCTCAGCACCGTCAAGATTGCAGATCGGAGCAAACACATTCCAGGGGTATGCTTGTATGCCTGACATGTCCCTTGCTAGCTCGTACATCACACGACCATAGCAAGTATAGTCGTGAAGGTAGGTAGGTCAGCAACACATGTCATGCTTTTATTTGAAATAGATCATTTCAATTTATTTGGCAACTCCTAAAGAATCTAAAAGATTCTAAAGACAAAATAGCTGGGAGATTTAATTTAATGTGGTCGACTCGAAAGATAAGAAACATAACTGAGAGGGGGGGTGCTTGACTTTTCATCACCAGCTCCTCCATTACAAATGGATTGTATGTAGAAATGAAAGCAGTTCTATGAACGCGAGCACCTTCATACATCCCACGAAAACTGACTCGAAAGAGGAGAGCATGAAATACATCATCCTTGTACACCAGGACTCGCCAAATCTATTCTTAATTGATTGACTAATCTAGTTATATATGAAGATGGAGAGCGACTCTATTGACTCCTAGTCGACAGATTATTGATTGGAACTTGCATATGAAGATGGAAATAATAGAGGCCCTTTGGGACATCCGTTAAAAAACTGTGTTAAAATTGGAACCAGACAGGGAAGATTAGCATGTCCATAAATCGAGAAATGGTCCATTTTTTTTACCTGGTTGATCCTGCCAGTAGTCATATGCTAGTCTCAAAGTCTAAGCCATGCACGCCGAAGTGTGAACACTTTGCACTGTGAATTAAAAAAAAAAAAAAGAAGAAGATGGAAAGCATAGAGCCGTATGATGCTTCACAACTTCCTTCACCCTGCCAGGTGGGATAAAGATAATAGTCTAACCTCCAGTGAAAACTAGAGACGATTGGAAAGGTCAATCAAATCAATCTTGAAGGAGAGAAAATCAGCAGTGGCAAAGGTAAGCAAGCAGCAACATATTTTATGCTTCCTTTTTCACAAATTCTCACCACAAAACAGTAAAAAGATATGAAGACTTGAAGGATAAGAGAGATTACTGACGGAGTGCGCTTCACATGTCGTTGCCCGCTCCTTCCTTCGTTGTGGCGCAGCAAGGTTGTGAGTCTTGTGACCATTGAGCGTTGCTAGAAATTCCTCTATTCGTACATGTATATGCCAAAACAGTTTCTTTTTTTTAATTTTTTTTTAAATTTTTTTTTTAACAATAACAGGACCTTATGGTCCTGGCTCCTTTCCATTCTGGGGAGCATCAGTCTGGTTCCTATTCCCCCGGCAAGTCAGAATAAACGTTACAATCATGACCTTCCGTCTGGCCGAATGCCAAAACAGTTTCTGGATATTTAACCAGATCAAAATGGAAACAATCACGGGAAGAAGGGAAAAAAATATAAAAAAAAAATTCACCGACGGTCGGTGGATATTGAAATCCACCAGAGATTTTGCCCGTCGAATCATAGCATCCTGCAGATAGAACTGATACAGCTCCTAAGGGTGTCAAGAGGATACCGCTCTGATTGGTGATGGAGGACTCAGAACAAGACAAGAACAACCTGACCACATAAAGTTGGAAATGAGGGATCCTGTGTAGAGATCAGGGAGACCAGTGTGAACTCAAAGTGTACCAAAGAAGAAGGGCTATTCAGTGGCATATCAATCCCAATATGCAGACAAATGTGGAGGACAGGGCGAAGGAGGAATCTGAAAGGAGGGACCGAGGAAGAATATGGAGGTGCGACAAGGTGAGGTCGAGGAGGAGAAGACAAAGGCAGCGGTAGGTTAGTGCAGTAGCTTAAAGCACCAGTGCACGGCTACCTGGGCCGCAGGCCTGACACCTTGAATTCCGGAGGCGCGAAACGAACGAGCGACCGCCGATCCAATATATCAACGGCAGGCCCAGTGTTTGATGTTTCGGCCTCGCTTTCTTGTGGCGACAAGTTTTGGAATGCAAGGCTGGGGCCGTGTACTACCTTCTTCCCCCAAATACAACGTACGGTCATTATAGCCGTATTTGGTGCAACTTTCAGTCTACATACATCGCTGTATGTAGACTGAAAATTGCACCAAATACGGCTATAATGACCGGGTGTTCGATTCGGGTGAAGATGGTAGCATAAACTTTCAGTTTAACATTAGGACTGGTCATGACGGAGCCGCGAACTTGCAGTGCAGATAGGGGATCAAAACTGACAAAGACGGCGTCTCTACATGTGCCGCCATTGACAGAGAAACACCACCATAGCCATGTCATTCGACTGTCTCTCTATTGCCGCTCTCTCTCTCTGCTTCTCTCATCCCTTGCATAAACTTTACGCTGCCGCAGCGGCGGGGGCAAAAGCACAGATGTAGACGCTTTGCCACTTTTCTGAAACTCCAATGGAGTCTACCTTTTTCCCCCGAATACAACATACCGTCATTATAGCTGCATTTAGACTGAAAGATACCCCAAATACAGGTATAATGACCGCACGTTGCATTTGGTCGGGGGAAGAAGGTAGCAAGCATTGCAGTCAAAGAAGGATAAACTGAAAACGATGAGAAGAACATGTAGTCTCTGCTGAACTTTCAGTTTATCCTTTTTTCATCATTAAATAGGCATGCATTCCTCAGCACGACTTTGACGAAAGAATATGTGCATGCAATATTTCAGAGACGTTCTCTTCAAAACCAAACAAAAGAGGTCACGGTCTTCTAGAAGAGATTCATTCATACATTCGACGAATACATTCACATGGGGCAGTAG